ACCAGGAGAACGGGCTGTCACCGCGGGCCGGTGGCTGCCCCGGCTCCAGCCCCTGGGTCCTCTTCCTTCCCCTTTTAGTCTGTTACAGGATTTGAGCAGCGGCCTGATAGCAAAGCACAGCAGGCAGCAGTGATCCCACACTGTATTGCCTGGGATTGGTTTTTCCAGAGCACCCCACAACAGTTTGACCGCTGCTGCTTATCAAACCCACCACGAAGGTCCCCGCTGCTGGCTGGGAATGGGCTGGAAAACTCGCCTGGTGGGATAGCGCTGCCAAGGCACAACAGCAAAGGGCTCCTTACCCGAGTTTTTGGTGTCATTTCCAGGCTCCCCAGCATTGCTGAGTGGAACTAGGCAGTTGCTGAAGAGCAAGAGTCTGCCTGGTCTGTGTGGGGAAGGGGCGCAGGGGCAGCAGGGTCCAAGCTGCAGTGGTGAAACAGAGTCCTCACACTGCACGTGCCTCTGCACTGGTTGGGAGGTTGGGGGCATCTACATTGCAAAAGATAGATCGATCTGTGGGTTTAATCGTTTAAACATTCCATGTCTGTAAGACGTCACTCAGATTTGTTACCTTCATTCTATGAGACACTAGGAGGTGGGTCCCTAGATCCCAGACTTACTGGTATCTGGAAGCTCAGATCAAACCTGGACTGCAGCAGCAGTGCATCCTTCTCTTCTTTATGAAATGCTTTTCTCAAAGGCCTGTGTGATGTGGGAGCCTGAAGCCTGGAAACAGTCCCTCCTGCATCTTGCAGGCACTCCTGGAATTCCAAGTTCAGAGTGAATTTTATGATTCACTGGTTATTTCCTGTATTTTCTGAACACGTAAAAGGCTCCTGTGCTGGGCACAGGTTCAAGGTTCTAGAAAGGAAACAGGGTGGGCCATATGTTCCAATAGTCTGTTGGACATGCTGCAAGGGATGGCAATGGTTCCCAGCCTCAGCTACAGTCTGGAGGACAGCTGGTCCGTGGGAGCTCATCCTTCTTGGCCTAGCAGTCCCTGGTGACAAAAATTCTTCACACCCACAATCTAAAGGGCATCTGAACAGAGGGACACTGTCACGTCCAGCAGTTACACTGTCAGGCCAGTACTTGGGAGCTGAGGGAAGCCTGTTGGGTTGTACAACTGGGCAGAAAGCAGGAAGGAAGGGTGCCTGTGGGAAATCATCTGATGGTGTGAGAGAGGCGCACGCAAGCAGTCAGAGAGGGGACAGGATTTGGGCCTGGGGCTGAAGCAAAAGGTGTTTTGGTTCATCTTTGCCTGCAGTAGGGCTTCAGTCTGTGTGAACATGCCAGAACCAGGACTGCTGGGTGCCCCCTGGAACACTCCAACCACGTGCCTTTAAACTTTGACAGCTTGGCTAGGCAGGCAGAGGCACGAGGACTGAAACCTTTTGGTTCAGAGTATCTTTGGACTATAAAATGTAAAATAAATTTGTGAGCTGCTGAGTCTTTGGGACACCATGCCCCACTGTACTGTGCTTTACAGAATAACAGTAAATTCCTCAAAGGTTACACTTGCTTTAACATCACCATCTCCTCTAGGAAATAAGGGTAAATCCCCATAATCTGTGCTGTAAGTACTCACCCAGCATCAGGCCATTTTCCTTGTGGTCTCTCAGCTCACCTGAGTGTTTTGTAGGGTGCTGAAGATGGCAAACAGCTCTGCTCCTTGGATTGGATGTGCTTATCTCTTCCTCCAGTCAACATGTAAGACCATCATTCTGCCGTCTCTCTACGAAAGCTCCCAGAAGAAACCTAGTGTGTTCAAGGCGCTGAAGCTGGCATTAGCAGGTACGCATCCTCTCTGATACCTCAGCACACCATCTCATCTCTTCATGCAATGCCAGTCTTTCTTTAATCTCATACTCCTGGGTAAGGAGAGATGGTGCTCACTGTATTTAGGAAAGAGT